AAAAAAAAAAAAAAAAACTATAGGGGAGGCTATCAGGAGGGATTCAAGATTCAGCTAGAGCAAAAATCTGAAGATGGTAAGAGAAGTTGAGGATTTAGAAGATATTGATGACCATACAGCATGAATTGAAGAGGGCCCAGTGGAGGCATTTTGGGAGGTGACAAGGGGTGAGAAGGGGACAGGAAAGTGTATAGAACAGAGTAGATTGCAGTCTTCATATATACAGCATTGGTAGAAACCAATAAGAAAATATTGATAATATAATAGAAATGTAGCCAAAGGACATAAAACATTCACAGAAGAAATAATGTAACCGACCAATAAATGTTTTAAGAGTGTATTTATAGTCAGAAAAAAATTATACGATGAGTAACGAGACATGTTTTAAAATGAGAGATGTTTTAGGGGCATCTGAGTGGCTCGGTTAAGTGTCTGACTTCGGCTCAGGTCATGATCTCAGGGTTCGTGAGTTCGAGCCCCACGTCGGGCTCTGTGCTGACAGCTCAGAGCCTGGAGCCCGCTTCAGATTCTGTGTCTCCCTCTGTCTGCCCCTCTGTCTCTTGCATTATCTCAAAAATAAACATTAAAATAAAAAAAAATGAGAGGTTTTAAAATAAATAGAAACCTGTTAGGAGATGGTAGAGAGGAAGTTGATTAGAAATAGTTTGGAAAAGAATTGAAGGAGAATGTTTAATTTTGAGTTCTAAGTCTCCTTAACTTTCAGTTTCGTAGGTAAAAGCAAACTTTGTGATGCCCCTCAACATAAATTGTTTCTTTCAGCCAAAATGATCTCCGCTTGTCTTATGAATATATCTTATTCATTTTCTATTTTGGTTTGGACAAACTTCACCTTTTCTCCCTTCCCCCCACCCCCCCAGCTGTATAAAAATTCTGTCCCTTCAGAGCCTTACTGAAGGTCCCTTTTCCAGGACACTTGTTTCCAGCCCAGCCCCAGTGACCATGGTATTCGTTTGACTCAGTTATGTCAAATCAATATTGAAATTCCATTTGTGTTTATTTCCAAAGGTGATTGGAGAATTGTTGTCTTTCTCCATGAGAATTTCAGCACTGAAGGCATTCAGTTTATCTTTTATTAATAGATTGAAAAAATGTTTGTTTTCCAGTAGTCTCATTTTCACTTTTATATTCTTTATTATTCTGTACATATATTTCTTCTATAAACAGCTCTTATTGGAAGCCATCATTACTTTCTGTAGCTAAAATTTAATTAACATATAGCATTTACTCTGGTTTGGGATAGTCTTGAGTTTCTAGTGGCTTGTACAATCTATGCCTGCACTATGTTAAGCAAACTGTAGGTGAGTAAATTTGAAGGTCTAATTGACTTTATTAAGTAATCTTGAATCAGGCACCATCCCATCTAACAAGTAGAGGGAAGCTCTTAGGACTTGTACAAAATGAAGATTTTTTTATAGGAAGGATGGTGGGGCAAGAAAGTTATCGGCAAAAGAAAAGGTAAGATCACCTTCCCTTAGGGGGAAAGAGCACTGGGCCTTGTGCAGATGATGTCATCTTCCTTTGGGGTGGGGATGGAGGGCCCATGTGGCACTCATTGGCACCCATCAGAACATTCTTGACTGACTAGTTAAGACTGCTTTTCTGGGGGAGGTTGAAACTGCAATTAGATTAGAGACTAGGGCTAAGTGATGCCATTTTCGGTCTGTGGTTTTCTATTTTACAGTTACCCCCTTTTGATCTAATTCTCAGCTTAACAGAAATGTGATCAAAATTAAAGGCATTAACGCCACTCTCAGTTACCAACCTCAAGTTCTCGCAGTTTTTGTTATTCCCTTGTGTGGCCTGTCCATATGGTTATGGCTTAATCTCTGGGATATTCACAAGTCATGGCTTCAGGTTCACAATTTTTTATTTTTTATTTTTTTTTAATTTTTTTTTTTCAACGTTTATTTTATTTTTGGGACAGAGAGACAGAGCATGAACGGGGGAGGGGCAGAGAGAGAGGGAGACACAGAATCGGAAACAGGCTCCAGGCTCTGAGCCATCAGCCCAGAGCCTGACGCGGGGCTCGAACTCACGGACTGCGAGATCGTGACCTGGCTGAAGTCGGACGCTTAACCGACTGCGCCACCCAGGCACCCCAGGTTCACAATTTTTTAAATGTCATTTTCTTTGTTCCTTAGATGTTTCAAGTCCTTTAAAAAATTTTTTAAAGTAATCTCTATACCCAACATGGGCTGAAACTCACCACCCCAAGGTCAAGAGTTGCACACTCCACCAACTGAGCCAGCCAGGCGCCCCCAGATGTTTCAGGT